AGACACGGGGAGAGAGACACACGGGGAGAGAGACACGGGGAGACACGGGGGGAGAGACACGGGGGGAGAGACACGGGGGGAGAGACACGGGGAGAGAGACACGGGGGGAGAGAGACACGGGGGGAGAGACACGGGGAGAGAGACACGGGGAGAGAGACACGAGGAGAGAGACACGGGGGGGAGAGACACGGGGAGAGAGACACGGGGAGACACGGGGGGAGAGACACGGGGAGAGAGACACGGGGGGAGAGAGACACGGGGGGAGAGACACGGGGAGAGAGACACTGGGAGAGAGACACGGGGAGAGAGACACGGTGAGAGAGACACGGGGGGAGAGAGACACGGGGGGAGAGACACGGAGAGAGAGACACGGGGAGAGAGACACGGTGAGAGAGAGACACGGTGAGAGAGACACGGGGAGAGAGACACGGTGAGAAAGACACGGGGAGAGAGAGACACGGGGAGAGAGAGACACGGTGAGAGAGAGACACGGGGAGAGAGACACGGGGGGAGAGAGACACGGGGGGAGAGACACGGGGAGAGAGACACGGGGAGAGAGACACGAGGGGGAGAGACACGGGGAGAGAGACACGGGGAGAGAGACACGGGGAGAGAGACACGAGGAGAGAGACACGGGGGGGAGAGACACGGGGAGAGAGACACAGGGAGACACGGGGGGAGAGACACGGGGAGAGAGACACGGGGGGAGAGAGACACGGGGGGAGAGAGACACGGGGGGAGAGACACGGGGAGAGAGACACTGGGAGAGAGACACGGTGAGAGAGACACGGGGGGAGAGAGACACGGGGGGAGAGACACGGAGAGAGAGACACGGGGAGAGAGACACGGTGAGAGAGAGACACGGTGAGAGAGACACGGGGAGAGAGACACGGTGAGAAAGACACGGGGAGAGAGAGACACGGGGAGAGAGAGACACGGTGAGAGACACGGGGAGAGAGACACGGGGGGAGAGAGACACGGGGGGAGAGACACGGGGAGAGAGACACGGGGAGAGAGACACGAGGAGAGAGACACGAGGGGGAGAGACACGGGGAGAGAGACACGGGGAAAGAGACACGGGGAGAGAGACACGGGGAGAGAGACACGGGGGGAGAGAGACACGGGGGGAGAGACACGGTGAGAGAGACACGGGGAGAGAGACATGGTGAGAGAGACACGGTGAGAGAGACACGGTGAGAGAGAGACACGGGGAGAGAGACACGGGGAGAGAGACACGGGGGGAGAGACACGGAGAGAGAGACACGGGGAGAGAGACACGGGAAGAGAGACACGGGGAGAGAGACACTGGGAGACACAGAGAGAGACACGGGGAGAGAGAGAGAGACACTGGGTGACACGGGGAGAGGGAGACACGGGGAGACACGTGGAGATAGAGACACGGTGAGAGAGAGACACGGTGAGAGAGACACGGTGAGAGAGACACGGTGAGAGAGACACGGTGAGAGAGAGACACGGTGAGAGAGACACGGGGAGAGAGACACGGTGAGAAAGACACGGGGAGAGAGAGACACGGGGAGAGAGAGACACGGTGAGAGACACGGGGAGAGAGACACGGGGGGAGAGAGACACGGGGGGAGAGACACGGGGAGAGAGACACGGGGAGAGAGACACGAGGAGAGAGACACGGGGAGAGAGACACGGGGAGAGAGACACGGGGGGAGAGACACGGAGAGAGAGACACGGGGAGAGAGACACGGGAAGAGAGACACGGGGAGAGAGACACTGGGAGACACAGAGAGAGACACGGGGAGAGAGAGAGAGACACTGGGTGACACGGGGAGAGGGAGACACGGGGAGACACGTGGAGATAGAGACACGGTGAGAGAGAGACACGGTGAGAGAGACACGGTGAGAGAGACACGGTGAGAGAGACACGGTGAGAGAGAGACACGGTGAGAGAGACACGGTGAGAGAGACACGGAGAAAGAGACGGTGAGAGAGACACGGTGAGAGAGAGACACGTGGAGAGAGAGACACGGTGAGAGAGACACGGTGAGAGAGACACGGTGAGAGAGACACGGGGAGACAGACACACGGTGAGAGAGAGACACGGAGACAGAGACACGGTGAGAGAGACACGGAGACAGAGACACGGTGAGAGAGACACGGTGAGAGAGACACGGAGAGAGAGACACGGTGATAGAGACACGGGGAGAGAGAGACGGTGAGAGAGACACGGAGAGAGAGACACGGTGATAGAGACACGGGGAGAGAGAGACACGGTGAGAGAGACACGGTGAGAGAGATACACGGTGAGAGAGACACGGAGAGAGAGACACGGTGATAGAGACACGGGGAGAGAGAGACACGGTGAGAGAGACACGGTGAGAGAGACACGGAGAGAGAGACACGGTGAGAGAGACACGGTGAGAGAGACACGGGAGAGAGACACGGTGAGAGAGACACTGGGAGACACGTGGAGATAGAGACACGGTGAGAGAGACACGGGGGGAGAGACACGGTGAGAGAGAGACACGGTGAGAGAGACACGGTGAGAGAGAGACACGGGGAGAGAGACACGGTGAGAGAGACACGGTGAGAGAGACACGGTGAGAGAGACACGGGAGAGAGACACGGTGAGAGAGACACTGGGAGACACGTGGAGATAGAGACACGGTGAGAGAGACACGGGGGGAGAGACACGGTGAGAGAGACACGGTGAGAGAGACACGGTGAGAGAGAGACACGGTGAGAGAGACACGGTGAGAGAGACACGGTGAGAGAGACACGGTGAGAGAGAGACACGGGGAGAGAGACACGGAGAGAGAGACACGGTGAGAGAGACACGGTGAGAGAGACACGGTGAGAGAGACACGGGGAGACAGACACACGGTGAGAGAGACACGGTGAGAGAGACACGGTGAGAGAGAGACACGGTGAGAGAGACACGGTGAGAGAGACACGGTGAGAGAGACACGGTGAGAGAGACACGGTGAGAGAGACACGGTGAGAGAGACACGGTGAGAGAGACACGGTGAGAGAGACACGGTGAGAGAGACACGGTGAGAGAGAGACACGGTGAGAGAGACACGGTGAGAGAGACACGGTGAGAGAGACACGGTGAGAGAGACACGGTGAGAGAGACACGGGAGAGAGACACGGTGAGAGAGTCACTGGGAGACACGTGGAGATAGAGACACGGTGAGAGAGACACGGGGGGAGAGACACGGTGAGAGAGACACGGTGAGAGAGACACGGTGAGAGAGAGACACGGTGAGAGAGACACGGTGAGAGAGACACGGTGAGAGAGACACGGTGAGAGAGACACGGGGAGAGAGAGACACGGTGAGAGAAAGACACGGTGAGAGAGACACGGGGAGAGAAAGACACGGTGAGAGAGACACAGAGACAGAGACACGGGGAGAGAGACACGGTGAGAGAGACACGGTGAGAGAGACACGAGGAGAGAGACACGGAGAGAGAGACACGGGGGAGAGACACACGGTGAGAGAGACACGGTGAGAGAGACACGGTGAGAGAGAGACACGGTGAGAGAGAGACACGGTGAGAGAGAGACACGGTGAGAGAGACACGGTGAGAGAGACACGGTGAGAGAGAGACACGGTGAGAGAGACACGGAGACAGACACATGGTGAGAGAGACAGAGAGAGACACGGTGAGAGAGACACGGTGAGAGAGAGACACGGTGAGAGACACGGAGACAGACACATGGTGAGAGAGACAGAGAGAGACACGGAGACAGAGACACGGTGAGAGAGACACGGTGAGAGAGACACGGTGAGAGAGAGACACGGTGAGAGAGACACAGTGAGAGACACGGTGAGAGAGACACGGTGAGAGAGAGACACGGTGAGAGAGAGACACGGTGAGAGAGAGACACGGTGAGAGAGAGACACGGTGAGAGAGAGACACGGTGAGAGAGACACACGGTGAGAGAGAGACATGGAGACAGAGACACGGTGAGAGAGACACGGAGAGAGAGACATGGAGAGAGAGACACGGGGAGAGAGACACGGTGAGCGAGACACGGTGAGAGAGAGAGACACGGTGAGAGAGACACGGTGAGAGAGACACGGTGAGAGAGAGACACGGTGAAAGAGACACGGTGAGAGAGACACGGAGAGAGAGACATGGAGAGAGAGACACGGGGAGAGAGACACGGTGAGCGAGACACGGTAAGAGAGAGAGACACGGTGAGAGAGACACGGTGAGAGAGAGAGACACGGTGAGAGAGACACGGTGAGAGAGACACGGTGAGAGAGACACGGTGAGAGAGACACGGTGAGAGAGACACGGTGAGAGAGACACAGTGAGAGAGACACGGTGAGAGAGACACGGTGAGAGAGACACGGTGAGAGAGACACGGTGAGAGAGAGACACGGTGAGAGAGACACGGTGAGAGAGACACGGTGAGAGAGACACGGTGAGAGAGACACGGTGAGAGAGAGACACGGTGAGAGAGAGACACGGTGAGAGAGAGACACGGTGAGAGAGAGACACGGTGAGAGAGACACGGTGAGAGAGAGACACGGTGAGAGAGACACGGTGAGAGAGACACGGTGAGAGAGACACAGAGACAGAGACACAGTGAGAGAGACACGGTGAGAGAGACACGGTGAGAGAGACACGGTGAGAGAGACACGGTGAGAGAGACACGGTGAGAGAGAGACACGGGGAGAGAGACACGGTGAGAGAGAGAGACACGGTGAGAGAGACACGGTGAGAGAGAGACACGGTGAGAGAGAGACACGGTGAGAGATACACGGTGAGAGAGACACGGTGAGAGAGACACGGTGAGAGAGACACGGTGAGAGAGACACGGTGAGAGAGAGACACGGTGAGAGATACACGGTGAGAGAGACACGGTGAGAGAGACACGGTGAGAGAGAGACACGGTGAGAGAGACACGGTGAGAGAGACACGGTGAGAGAGACACGGTGAGAGAGACACGGTGAGAGAGAGACACGGGGAGAGAGACACGGTGAGAGAGAGAGACACGGTGAGAGAGACACGGTGAGAGAGAGACACGGTGAGAGAGAGACACGGTGAGAGATACACGGTGAGAGAGACACGGTGAGAGAGACACGGTGAGAGAGACACGGTGAGAGAGACACGGTGAGAGAGAGACACGGTGAGAGATACACGGTGAGAGAGACACGGTGAGAGAGACACGGTGAGAGAGAGACACGGTGAGAGAGAGACACGGTGAGAGAGAGACACGGTGAGAGAGACACGGAGACAGAGACACGGTGAGAGAGAGACACGGTGAGACAGACACACGGTGAGAGAGAGACATGGAGACAGAGACACGGTGAGAGAGACACGGAGAGAGAGACATGGAGAGAGAGACACGGGGAGAGAGACACGGTGAGCGAGACACGGTGAGAGAGACACGGTGAGAGAGACACGGTGAGAGAGACACGGTGAGAGAGACACGGTGAGAGAGACACGGTGAGAGAGACACGGAGACAGACACATGGTGAGAGAGACAGAGAGAGACACGGTGAGAGAGAGAGACACGGTGAGAGAGAGACACGGTGAGACAGACACACGGTGAGAGAGACACGGTGTGAGAGAGACACGGTGAGAGAGAGACACGGTGAGAGAGACACACGGTGAGAGAGAGACACGGTGAGACAGACACACGGTGAGAGAGACACGGAGACAGACACAGTGAGACAGACACAGTGAGACAGACACAGTGAGACAGACACAGTGAGACAGACACAGTGAGACAGACACAGTGAGACAGACACAGTGAGAGAGACACGGTGAGACAGACACGGTGAGACAGACACGGTGAGACAGACACGGTGAGAGAGACACAGTGAGAGAGACACGGTGAGCGAGACACGGTGAGAGAGACACGGTGAGAGAGACACGGTGAGAGAGACACGGTGAGAGAGACACGGTGAGAGAGACACGGTGAGAGAGACACGGAGACAGACACATGGTGAGAGAGACAGAGAGAGACACGGTGAGAGAGAGAGACACGGTGAGAGAGAGACACGGTGAGACAGACACACGGTGAGAGAGACACGGTGTGAGAGAGACACGGTGAGAGAGAGACACGGTGAGAGAGACACACGGTGAGAGAGACACGGTGTGAGAGACACACGGTGAGAGAGAGAGACACGGTGAGAGAGAGACACGGTGAGAGAGACACGGTGAGAGAGACACAGAGACAGAGACATGGAGACAGAGACACGGTGAGAGAGAGACACGTGCCACCCCCTCCACCCCCGTGCACCTACCTGGAAGTCGAGTGTGCTGTCGATGCTCAGCATGAAGCAGTCCGTGATCGGCGTCATGACGTCCTGCACGGTGCGATGGCGGAGGTCCATGGCACCCCGCCACGCAGACTCCTGTCGCTCCGCTAGGTAGCGGCGGAGCAGCTCCAGCAGCCGCTCACGGTCAAACACCACACAGATGTCTCGCCTGAGCAGGGGACAGAGACACAGAGACACACACAGACACACAGAGACACAGAGACAGAGTCAAACGCCACGCAGACTCCTGTCGCTCCGCTAGGTAGCGGCGGAGCAGCTCCAGCAGCCGCTCACGGTCAAACACCACACAGATGTCTCGCCTGAGCGGGGGACACAGACAGAGACACACAGAGACACACAGAGACACACAGAGACACACAGAGACACACAGAGACAGAGACACAGAGACACAGAGACAGAGTCAAACACCACACAGACTCCTGTCGCTCCGCTAGGTAGCGGCGGAGCAGCTCCAGCAGCCGCTCACGGTCAAACACCACACAGATGTCTCGCCTGAGCGGGACACAGAGACACAGAGACACACAGAGACACACAGAGACACACAGAGACACACAGAGACACACAGAGACACAGAGACACACAGAGACACACAGAGACACACAGAGACACACAGAGACCCACAGAGACACACAGAGACACACAGAGACACACAGAGACACACAGAGAGACACACAGAGACACAGAGACAGAGTCAAACGCCACGCAGACTCCTGCCGCTCTGCCAGGTAGCGGCGGAGCAGCTCCAGCAGCCGCTCACGGTCAAACACCACACAGATGTCTCGCCTGAGTGGGGGACAGAGAGAGACACACAGAGACACACAGAGACACACAGAGACACAGAGACACACAGAGACACAGAGACACACAGAGAGACACAGAGAGACACAGAGAGACAGAGTCAAACACCACACAGACTCCTGCCGCTCTGCCAGGTAGCGGCGGAGCAGCTCCAGCAGCCGCTCACGGTCAAACACCACACAGATGTCTCGCCTGAGCGGGGGACAGAGAGACAGAGACACACAGAGAGACAGAGACACAGAGAGAGACACAGAGACACAGAGACACACACAGAGACACAGAGACACACAGAGACACACAGAGACACACAGAGAGACAGAGACACACAGACACAGAGACACAGAGACAGACACAGAGAGACACAGAGACAGAGAGACACACAGAGACACACAGAGACAGAGACAGAGACACAGAGACACAGAGACAGAGTCAAACACCACACAGACTCCTGCCGCTCTGCCAGGTAGCGGCGGAGCAGCTCCAGCAGCCGCTCACGGTCAAACACCACACAGATGTCTCGCCTGAGCGGGGGACACAGAGACACACAGAGAGACAGAGACAGAGAGACACAGAGACACAGAGAGACACACAGAGACACAGAGACACACACAGAGACACAGAGACACACAGAGAGACAGAGACACAGACACAGAGATGTCTCGCCTGAGCGTGGGACACAGACAGAGACACAGAGACACACAGAGAGACACACAGAGACACAGAGAGACACACAGAGACACACAGAGACACAGAGACACACAGAGAGACACACAGAGACACAGAGACAGAGTCAAACACCACACAGACTCCTGCCGCTCCGCCAGGTAGCGGCGGAGCAGCTCCAGCAGCCGCTCACGGTCAAACACCACACAGATGTCTCGCCTGAGCGGGGGACACAGACACAGAGAGACAGAGACAGAGACACAGAGACAGAGAGAGAGACACAGACACAGAGACACAGACAGAGAGACACGGTCAAACACCACACAGATGTCTCGCCTGAGCGGGGGACACAGAGACACAGAGACAGAGAGACAGAGAGACACACAGAGACACAGAGAGACACAGAGAGACAGAGAGACACAGTCAAACACCACACAGATGTCTCGCCTGAGCGGGGGACACAGACAGAGACACAGAGACACACAGAGACACACAGAGACAGAGAGACAGAGTCAAACACCACACAGATGTCTCGCCTGAGCGGGCGACACGCAGAGACACACAGAGACACAGACACAGAGAGACACAGTCAAACACCACACAGATGTCTCGCCTGAGCGGGGGACACAGAGACACACCGAGAGACACAGAGACACACAGAGACACAGAGACACAGAGACACACAGAGAGACAGAGACACACAGACACAGAGACACAGAGACAGACACACAGAGACACACAGAGACACACAGAGACACACAGAGACAGAGAGACACAGTCAAACACCACACAGATGTCTCGCCTGAGCGGGGGACAGACACACAGAGACACAGAGAGAGAGACAGAGTCAAACACCACACAGATGTCTCGCCTGAGCGGGGGACAGAGACAGAGAGACAGAGACAGAGAGACACAGAGACACAGACAGAGAGACACGGTTAAACACCACACAGATGTCTCGCCTGAGCGGGACACAGAGACACAGAGAGACACACAGAGACACAGAGACACACAGAGACACAGAGACACAGTCAAACACCACACAGATGTCTCGCCTGAGCGGGGGACACAGAGACACAGAGACACAGACAGAGAGAGACACAGAGACACACAGAGACAGAGTCAAACACCACACAGATGTCTCGCCTGAGCGGGGGACAGAGAGAGACACACAGAGACACACAGAGACACACAGAGACAGAGAGACACAGTCAAACACCACACAGATGTCTCGCCTGAGCGGGACACAGACAGAGACACAGAGACACAGACAGAGAGAGACACAGAGACAGAGAGACAGAGACACAGACAGAGAGACACGGTCAAACACCACACAGATGTCTCGCCTGAGCGGGGGACACAGACAGAGAGACACGGTCAAACACCACACAGATGTCTCGCCTGAGCGGGGGACACAGAGACACAGAGACACAGACAGAGAGAGACACAGAGACACACAGAGACAGAGTCAAACACCACACAGATGTCTCGCCTGAGCGGGGGACAGAGAGAGACACACAGAGACACACAGAGACACACAGAGACAGAGAGACACAGTCAAACACCACACAGATGTCTCGCCTGAGCGGGACACAGACAGAGACACAGAGACACAGACAGAGAGAGACACAGAGACAGAGAGACAGAGACACAGACAGAGAGACACGGTCAAACACCACACAGATGTCTCGCCTGAGCGGGACACAGACAGAGACACAGAGACACAGACAGAGAGAGACACAGAGACACACAGAGACAGAGACACAGACAGAGAGACACGGTCAAACACCACACAGATGTCTCGCCTGAGCGGGGGACACAGACAGAGAGACACGGTCAAACACCACACAGATGTCTCGCCTGAGCGGGGGACAGACAGAGACACACAGAGACACACAGAGACACACAGAGACACACAGAGACAGAGAGACACAGTCAAACACCACACAGATGTCTCGCCTGAGCGGGGGACACAGACAGAGACACAGAGACACAGACAGAGAGAGACACAGAGACAGAGAGACAGAGACACAGACAGAGAGACACGGTCAAACACCACACAGATGTCTCGCCTGAGCGGGACACAGAGAGACACAGAGACACAGACAGAGAGAGACACAGAGACAGAGAGACAGAGACACAGACAGAGAGACACGGTCAAACACCACACAGATGTCTCGCCTGAGCGGGGGACACAGACAGAGAGACACGGTCAAACACCACACAGATGTCTCGCCTGAGCGGGACACAGACAGAGACACAGAGACACAGACAGAGAGAGACACAGAGACAGAGAGACAGAGACACAGACAGAGAGACACGGTCAAACACCACACAGATGTCTCGCCTGAGCGGGACACAGAGAGACACAGAGACACAGACAGAGAGAGACACAGAGACAGAGAGACAGAGACACAGACAGAGAGACACGGTCAAACACCACACAGATGTCTCGCCTGAGCGGGGGACACAGACAGAGAGACACGGTCAAACACCACACAGATGTCTCGCCTGAGCGGGACACAGACAGAGACACAGAGACACAGACAGAGAGAGACACAGAGACAGAGAGACAGAGACACAGACAGAGAGACACGGTCAAACACCACACAGATGTCTCGCCTGAGCGGGGGACACAGACAGAGAGACACGGTCAAACACCACACAGATGTCTCGCCTGAGCGGGGGACACAGACAGAGAGACACGGTCAAACACCACACAGATGTCTCGCCTGAGCGGGACACAGACAGAGACACAGAGACACAGACAGAGAGAGACACAGAGACAGAGAGACAGAGACACAGACAGAGAGACACGGTCAAACACCACACAGATGTCTCGCCTGAGCGGGACACAGAGAGACACAGAGACACAGACAGAGAGAGACACAGAGACAGAGAGACAGAGACACAGACAGAGAGACACGGTCAAACACCACACAGATGTCTCGCCTGAGCGGGGGACACAGACACAGAGACACAGACAGAGAGAGACACAGAGACAGAGAGACAGAGACACAGACAGAGAGACACGGTCAAACACCACACAGATGTCTCGCCTGAGCGGGACACAGAGACACAGAGACACAGACACAGAGAGACACAGAGACACAGACACAGAGAGACAGAGTCAAACACCACACAGATGTCTCGCCTGAGCGGGACACAGAGAGACACAGAGACACAGACAGAGAGAGACACAGAGACAGAGAGACAGAGACACAGACAGAGAGACACGGTCAAACACCACACAGATGTCTCGCCTGAGCGGGACACAGACAGAGACACAGAGACACAGACAGAGAGAGACACAGAGACAGAGAGACAGAGACACAGACAGAGAGACACGGTCAAACACCACACAGATGTCTCGCCTGAGCGGGGGACACAGACACACAGAGACAGAGAGACACAGAGACACACAGAGACAGAGTCAAACACCACACAGATGTCTCGCCTGAGCGGGGGACAGAGACACAGAGAGACAGAGAGACACAGAGAGACACACACAGAGACAGAGAGACAGAGTCAAACACCACACAGATGTCTCGCCTGAGCGGGGGGACAGACAGAGACACAGAGACAGAGAGACAGAGACACAGAGACAGAGAGACACAGTCAAACACCACACAGATGTCTCGCCTGAGCGGGGGACAGAGAGAGACACAGAGACACAGACAGAGACACAGAGACACAGTCAAACACCACACAGATGTCTCGCCTGAGCGGGGGGCACAGACAC